TTAAATAATACTAAATTAAATAAATTCCTTTAAACATCATTCTAGTACCAAACTAAGCAGAGTTTAAAAAACAATTATATAAATACTTAAATACAGATATTCTTTTACTACTAAAACTTAGATCAACACAAATACTCATACTCATGAATACAAATGTTCTTTGTATCTGGTGGAAATAACCCGTTGTCTTTGAAAGATGAATAAAATCAAAAAGTCCTCTAAATATTGAACTGTTAAATGTACCAAACAATTTAGGCTTGCATTTTGGAGAATAATGATATATATAATATTAAAATAGTTTTGTAAATTTAAACTTTCTGCAAACAAACAAATTGTCCTTTTACGAAACGTTCAGAACTTTGCCGAGGCGAGTATGTAAATGAAAACTTTCCCTCTTTCATTTGAATGGCGCAGTCCGGTTGCACTTGGCCGATTTACGACCACCCCGGCCTTTCAATTGATATTCATTTGTTTTTAATATTACTCAGAAGATTTTTAAACGCCATTATAAATGAATATACATATTTCATGTGTCGTATCTGTCATTGTTATTGTATTTTAAGGATTGCGGTAGTAAAACTTCATGAGTATAATTATTTACAAATTTTGATCACCTTCTTCAAGATATTATTTTTGTCATTGAAATTATATTAGAATTTATAATAATATGTATAGTACTATAATTGATATGATCTGGTTTTATCATAACATTATAAAATCTCAGAAAAAAGTAGTACTATTCCATACCTACGTAACAGTATAATTATTATTCTTAAACTCTACTAATACTTACCAACTTTACAATAATTACTTACCCTTTTACCTTTTCTTAACAGCTATCTCTTTTGCTTAAACTTTATATAGAAATAATATTATTATACAATAACAGCCTATTAAAAAAAAATAGAGACAGCTAACTGTCGGCGTTGTGGTGAACGCAACATTTGACATACCCACATTTCGGTTATATTTGACTTCAACAGACTACGTCTGTCATATAATTTGTTAATGTTGTTGTCTATCATCAGAGAGTTAGGAAATTACCAAATATTTTTAGCGTCCCAGATTCGACACACCTTTGAGGCCTATATAAATTGGAGCAGTAAATCACTAGGCCACGCCGCTCGAGCGGTTACAAGGTAATTGGTATAGGTTCTTTAAAGTTTTCCTTTTCATAGTACGATGAGAGGTATGTTTTGTTTGCCACGTCTCTCAAACTGTCCTCGTGAAGGATGGAAAACATATATACATACATGTTATAATATTTTTCTATCTTTCTTCGTGTGGTGATGAAGTAGGGTGATGTAATAATACTCTTTCTTCGTCACCACACGAAGATAGTTAAAAAAATATTGGACGATGTAGGTACAAGGAATATTGTGTGATAAAAGTACTTTATCTCCATACATTTAACGTTCCTATAGAATATTTGTTATATAGTATCCTTTGAGCAGCTATTCTAGAGCGGGTAATAATCTGTCCTACCTATTTCACAAAAGGCGTGTTTAAGACGGATTCAGTTCTCTTGTTCCATATCGCTTTAGATATTACGAGATTGCAGACCGCCGTGTGTACGGAAACAGCTCGAAATAGAGACGCATTTAGCTAAGATTCGACATGCAATAGCCTACACAGACGGCTAGGATATCAAAGCAATCTGGCCGGGTGGTCCGAGGCGCAATTTGGGTTGCTCCTTGCGCATATTGCATGCACGTACCAATGAAGTTTGCTTTGTAGGCGGTAATCTGCGGGGGTGTATCGGCTAGGGTGGTGGGTGGTGGGTTATGTACACACGAGCCCGAGGCGTCGAGGTAGGCAAATGGCCGGCGAGGCGGGCGCGTAGGCCGAGATCTCGAGCTGGCGATATCGATCGGCCGGCCTGACGCCCGCGGCCGTTCGTCGCCACGGACACGACTCGCGGCGGGAGGGCGGCGCCGCGTGACAAAAACAGTTCTTTGTTTGCCGGGTACGAAGTGCTCCCCACGATCCTTGGAAAGGACACGATGTTTACATGAGCATTGACGTCGCTGCAGATGACGGTAGTCCATTTAGTAACATTGAATAACAGAACAGTTTTTTAACTCATTCCTAGCTAATATATTGACAGCTATGCTAAAAAAGTTTTTGTAATACTATTGATGAATTAGGAAACTTATCGATATTTGCAAAAAAAAAAAATATTTGGAACATCACTAGGTCGCGTCGCGACCGCGCGGCGACGGGTGGCGCAAATCACTCGCGCGGACTGCCGTTCTTCGAGCGCGCCCCTATTGCGCTGCGGTCGTTTGCATCCTTTTATTTTTGTTTGTCGATGAAAATAAACCGTTATGTGTTGTTATTCTTGCGTAGTTTTGGGTCTAAGTTACACAATATAACGTATTACCTACATGCCTAATAAAATAATCTATTTTAGATTTAAAATAATTTTCTCAATACATTTAGTGATATGAGTATATAGAAAAAATATTCTTGATAACTATTTTAGTAATGAACTTTATTAAGAGCATTTACGGTAAGATTTCTCAGCAAACTTTCCATGACAGTCAGATCTACTAAATCAAAATGATAACGAAATCTGATGTCAGAGAAGGTAGGCTGCCTTTACTTTACCTACAATATTCTGTTATTATTGACTAGCCTGAACCTTTTAAACAATGACAACAAAAGTGAATTTAAAATCATGAAATGTCTTTTTTATCATCAGTTAATGACAGAATTGAAAGCATTAAAGACTGTTAAATATTTTTTTAGGAATTCATATAGAGTCTTCAGTGAGCTGCAAGTGTTTGACATGAACAACACGCGGGTAAAAGTTAGTTCTGAAATGTTAAAATAAAATCATCGATAGTCGATATCGACTTAACTTGTCGCAACGTATTCAATTAGAGGCACAGCACGGTTCGCATGAGTGGCGTTTGTACGCGTCGCCGACGCTCGCCCACCCCTCGCCCGCGCCACCGACCCAAATCGATAGCTCGAGTCTTGGCATCGATAACGATATGCAGGTGCACATCTCTAGTGCGGGCGTCTTGTTCGAATTCAAACTCCAAATAACGGTTGGTCAAGCTTTACTCAAAGCGAGGAACGTGGCGGTTCTAATTTGCAATAGTTCTACCGTAGTCAGATAGCTATCTAACTAAATATAGCTTTGAAATTGCGAATGTCGCTATGTAGGTATTTACTCAGCACGAGTAGATATTTGTAGAATATTACTGATATTTCCTAATTGGATAGGAAGTAACTGTACCAGTAACTTCAGATTCTTCATTGAGATTTTATATTAATATATTTTTGTTTCAGATCTAGGTAGTGACTTCTGAAATATAAATTTATCCTTTGTATTCGAATGTATCTTTAGGACAAAATGATATTAGGCATAAATAAATAACGAATGGTTTCAAATGATAATGATGACTTTAACAATTTATAGGGAAAAGTTTCGGATCTGTTTACAATATCATTGTGACAAAGTACTAAGTGAGTACTGGTATAATAGTATCCCACTAACATCATCACTAATTATTATCACTTAATTAATTATTAGTTATGGGGATTAGTGAATAGCACATTGCTAGCAATGGGGCCAGCAATGTAACGTGTCAGGACGACCACCACACTGTTACCTACCCTATCAAAAAAAGCAAGCTCCTTAGCGGCTGAAATATGTGAGATCGCTGGTGTACTTACGCTTACTTCAGGTTATTCTTACAAACTTAATTATAATATTTTTTTTATTCTATCAATTCGAAATATAAGTTGAACCAAAAAGAATAAGTTGCTTTTAAAATACTTTATCAAAAAATTATATTTATAGATAAATATCAACATTTGTTTAGATTTCGGTTAAATCTCTACGCTTTCTCATTCACAGAGTTGTTGTATAAACAACATGTAATATAAATTCACAAATATCAAAAGTAGTAAGAAAGAAATCAGTATAGAAATTGATAGCGAAAGCGCTGGAAAGTTTTCAGCGAAAAGTGAAAGTTTCAGTCGCAAAAGTTGCGGCGGCCGACTTTGTTTTCGTTCAACTTGGAATTCAATTTGAAGGGTGGCGGGTGCGTTGCCCCACACCCCTCTCGCTCTTTCATAACAATACAGGTTATGATTTTGTTGAGTAACAAACTCTGAAACTTTTTGAGTCACGCTTTCAAAACACAACATAGCCAGTCCTTTAAAGTTTTCTGTTTTATTTTTATTTGTACATTTATATGTATAATATTTATTGCTATATTAGATATATTGGTTTATTTACTTTGAGTTTATTTGTTGATTTTATTCAATCGTAATATTAAACATTAGTACTGAATTACTAACAATTTAAAATTATTGTCTTTTTTTTAAATATAGATATTTTTAATAACATTACAGAGATTGTATTACGTTAAGTAAAACAACCATGTTTGTATTTCCAGTAGCGCCATCTGTGAGAATTTTCCTAAACTTTTCTATGGCGTGCTGTATACTATCTAGCGAGTTCCAACTCTTGTACTGTGCTTTTGAAATGGTTGAATAAAAAGCAAAGCGATTCATAATACTACACCATAATACTAGAGGGTATTTTCGGTCTAATATGAATTATGTAAAAGTTATTAAACCAAGAATCTCATAGAGATATTTTATTGTTTTAAATATTTTAGTCTTATATTGCTTAACAGTAACTTAATATATTTGTAACTAGCTTATTACCCGCGAATTCGTCTGCGTGGATAATAACTATTTTTATTAAAATAGATTAAATGTATAAAATAATAGTGGCCTAAGTTACTCCTTAAAACAATATATACAATCTGCCAGTGAATGTCGCGTCTTATATCTGTGTGTCTGTTTGTCCATTTGTTTTTGTTAATCTCTGAAACGGCGGGGCCCATTTTGCGGGACTTTCAGTCGGCTTTAATTTACTGTTATTTAAGAAATTTTATTTATTTTAAGAAGAAAAGTTCCATGCGGACAAAATCGTGGGCTAAAAGCTAGTTTAATAAATATTTCTCTTTTAACAGCCAGAACGCATTATGTCCCCGTACACGGCTATAATACGACGCAGCGGGAATCCATTCGAAATAGCTCACGTGCTGGTTTCCTGGCTGATTGGTGCGGGGTATGACGCGTACATAGTAGTCGGCTGTGCCAAGAGAGACGTCTGTATGGCTATACGATACAGGACAATGTGCCCTGATATACCGGACGAGAGGGAGGTAAGCGTATCCAAAGAGGAACGAGATGAACCGAAATATAGTATTTTTTAACAGGAATGACAAACAATCTGACAACTCTCATGATGGAAATTGGTACCTTTAGCCAATAGAAATAAATAAAAATAATTTTAAACACTTTGATGATGTAACTAAATTCATTATACTCTAATTTTACCCATTATTAATCGACTGGTTAAGTACCGGTTAAAATATAGACTTATATCTTTTCTTTCTTATATAATCTAATGTATCAGTCCATCGTTTTATTGGACTGGAAGTCCAACTTCCTTCCCTTCCCTTTTGTCCTTTAGTCCCGTTCATTTTGCAGTTTGAATGTCCATCTGTAACGCGTGAGTTATGACCAGAGTATTGCCAACCTATTAATTGACTCATTTCATCAGTATACTCTGATATTAAGTTTGAATCAAATTTCTAACCTCACTTTGAACGTCAAAATACCATGTAGGTATTTATGTTACGATGTAAAATTTACTTGTATCTAGCTTCCCAAGAATAACTTTGAAGCGATTAGAGTCTAAGTATCCATAATACTTATTAGAGACATGGTTTAATTAAAAACAAAATTTGTTCCAGATAGTGGAGGAAATACCACCGCCAGAAGAGGAGCCTCGATACCGACTCGTACCTCTACCAGATCTGAACTCTAAGTATTGTCAGCAGATGGACAAAAAGGAGAAAGACAAAAAACAAAGTGAATTGGATAATATCGTGAACGAAAGGCTTAGGAAAATTGAGGTACTCTAGTTTCTGAATGTCTATCGAATTGAATGAAAATACATCATAAGAACTTCAAATTTGTACAATTAATAGATAATCGCTTTGGTATGCATACATACCAAAGCGATTATAGGAATTGGACTTATAGGACATTTTTCGGCATATATAAAATTTGAGCTAGTTAGTTTCCTCGTAATCTAATTTGCATTAACTAAATACTTACGACTCTACCAATTCGAATCGTACATGAATACTTTAAGAATATTGTACTTTGAATAACCATTACCTTAAATTTATAGAATCATTTCTAGCAATGGTATTTCCAAACCGATACGATATTGAAACCTTCCAGAAAAAAACTTATTACTATTTAAAAGGCTGGCAACTCGTTTGCAATTCCTGGTGTTGCATGGGCATACTCATGGGCGGCGGTAATCACTTACCATCAGTTGAGCCGCAAGCTTGTTTGTTCCATATGCTATCTTGAATATCTTTATGTTAGGATTTAGAAAAACCACCACACGATGAAATCGATGGCTGGCGGACGCATGCTTGGATATTAATATTACCAGGCAACATGGGTATCGAAGAGCCATTCTTCATAGAGCCCAGTGAAGGTAATGGATACCCATTAGACGCGAAGCAGTACCAACATCTGGACAGTGTGTATAATCATGAGAATTATTATGTAAGTTTGATTGTTAAGTGTTTATTTCTATTATGAAATGTCAATTACGATCTAGATATAGTTAGTTACAATAGTGACATAAATCAGGCCAGAGCTGAATTGTGCCTGCCCAATAATGATATAAATATTATCCAACGACATGTATATCAGGTGTTTTATGCTAAACCATTTGTAGTTTAAATTTGTGGGTATATAGGCTGCCACAAATACATGATAACGTTGTATATGTTATTATGTATTTTATTTTGACTATTTGATTTTTAGAAAAAGACCGGTCATTTTAAAAAACAGTTAACAAAAAAAACAATCATATTAATCCAATATGTTCAGGTAAACTTACAAAGTTGTGCTGAAGGCCTGGATAGCCTGAAGTATGACTTGGCTAATTTATCATGCTGGGAACACCTCCTCGCTGGCGAACCATTCCATAGAAGACAAATGTTAGGAGTCGATACTGCCGACAAGAGAACAGCAGTTGACACTGAGAAGCACTTGGACGTTCCAGCTAGCTGGGTGGAGAAACTAGATATTAGCGCTGATGGTGACTACATTGTTTTTGTTATGCTAGCTGTTGCTTGCAACTTCATCTGCCTTTTGTTACATAAAATGCAATGTGTCTATGTATATGTCTGTTGTGGTATAATCAAAACAATGAAATAGTTTTATAAATTAATATTAATATTTAACAAATTGGTGCCATGGTTCCGGCTTTTTACTTTCCTCGCAACAAAATCTGCTCTCTTTATATAGATAAGAGAACGCATAATTTTATTATTTATTGTAGAATAGAATAGAATAAGTTAATTTTATACCAGAACTAAGAAATATAATACATTAAACAAAATTTACTACTGACTATGAAAGTACAAAAAGGCTGTCATATTGATTAAGCAAGACATTATCCTAGACAACCTTAAAGTAGAAATAGTAGAGAAAAAAATAATAATAGCTTAAGTTGTAGTTTTATCAGTTTAGATACTTGCGTTTTTAGAATTCGAACAAAGATATCCTGGTAGTCATAAAGTGATTCATTACAAGAAGGTGATCCTGGAAAAGTTCTCACCATATTCTCAGAGAGATGGTATCGTGAAGAGAGTCAAGATTTTTGATGACTATGCCCTCACTATCCCGCTACTTACGTAAGTCAATGATAGTCATTGATACGCCACAAGTTAATCTTAAAGTTAAAATATCTTTAATTTTGAATTACAATTCTACTTAATTTTAATTCACATAAGTATAGTTAACATAATGTCAACATTGGTAGACGATCAGTTGATGAAACCACCTTAATATTCTATCGAAAAGTAAATCATAGAAGTTGGTGGTATTTCCAGTGATGACTTATGGAACATAATCGTACAGCGTTATCTGTATTTCAAAGTTTTTAGTCTAGTTATGAGTCAAATATCAAGATAGAAGCAATAATGACACCAAAATTTTGCAGGAAATCGGTGAATGTAAGTAGCTCAGCACCGTTTTTTTGTAGCATAACATGAGGAGCAATTTTAGCAAATAAAGTTATGTGTTACCTAATACATAGGTACGTTATATTGCATATTATTTTTTATACTTTCGGTAATTAAAAAATCATCTCTTTTAGATACGAGTGGTACAAAAATAGGGTTGACAAGATGGATACGGTCAAGATAGACCATGTCAAAAAAGAAATATTGGAGAAGTTTGGTATCGGTAGGAAGGACCACATAATAAGTAAGTTTACTCTAAGATTGTCATTTTTTTCAAGCAGACTAAGTAAATTCCGTGGTAATACTAATCTAGTCCGTTATTATAATAGTAAAACAGAAGACTATTCCTACTTTATATATATAAAAATATGTGATTCCATTGGTCACGGCTTCACCCGTGAACGGGTAGACCGATGCAGAGCTGAGCTTGTGTAAGCGTATTAGAAAACTGTATAAATACGTAGATAATAACTGGTACAAAAAAAAATGTCAAACACTACCAAATAAAATAACAATAATCTATAATAATCTCAGGACAATTCACACAATTCACACAGCGCCACAAAGCTTATGTTATGGGTACTAGATAACTGATACATACACATAGGTATTTTTTTTTTGTAAATACATACATAACAGACACAGAAAATAGCCTGATCGACACAAATAATCATACTCATGAATACAAATGTTTGTACCACGCGAGGAATTGTAACCGCGTCGTAGCCGTAGGAAGTAAATGGGTGTCGTGCTATAAGAAACTGCTATATAGAGGACGTCATTGTGATTGTTATTTCGTTTCGCTCCATAGAACACGTGTATTCAATAGAAGCACCGGTTGTGTCAGTGGAAGGTGTTCGAACTTTGGAGTTCAATTACTACGCACGTCTGGACCATCTCACCAAGCTTGTATGCACCCCACTGACCTTTGATGAACACTATACCAATAGAGAGGATAGGTAATGTTATATTTTCTATGCCAATATCATTACATAGTATAAAACAAAGTCCCTGTCTCTGTCTGTCCGTCCCTATGTATGTTTAAATTTTTAAAACTACGCAACGGATTTTGAAGAGTGTTTTTTAATATATAGAGTAATTCAAGAGAATGGTTTATATACATATAATACATGTACACCCATGAGAAGCCGGGCCGAGTAGCTAGTCATTTATAAAGATAAGTTTGTCACGCCAATGAAGTTAGGCGTCAGTCAAGTACCTTGGTAGCTCAGCAAGCAAGCAAGCTGCTTTGCGGCAAAACATATCTTTGCCGCAAAACAGCTTCTGTAACGGTCTCAAAAAAAAGATCAACAATCTCTAATCTAATGTAATATAATATATTGTTGTTTGTCTTCCTAATTGTTTGGCTGTTAGATACATACCACTGCTTTCTCACTGTTTTCGGCGTTCAGAGTTTAATGGCAGCATGACGCCAGCACTGTGCACTAGAGACAACATAATGCTTCCTTCTCTTCCTAGCATATATTACAATTGTCATAATATTATTTAAACAGTTAATCAGATCATCTTATGTATTCAAATCTATTTAAATTATAATACCGAACTGTTAATATAACATTTCTATCAAGATTGCTATTCGAAACTAGTTTGCTAACACATGATTATTCCAGGTTAGAATCTAGAATGATTGTCTATACAGAAGGCACCAAAATGGAACCTAAACGTCAAATAAAGGATATAACAGAGACATATGGAAGAAATCATTCTGTACCAGCTAAGGATGATGTTTTTAAGAAAATCTTTCATATCCAAGAGAACACTATAGAACTATACTACCATTATGCATATAACTTTGTCACGAATGATAGTAGAAGCTATACAAAGCCTAATTTAGCGGAGTCTGGTGGCAAAATACTTTATTATCCTGAAAAAACTTCAGGTTACATTGTAAGTAATCTCTTATTCGTAAGTACGACAGAGGTCGAATAACGAAATAGACATACAATAAGAAAGTGATGTTAGTACAGAAACAGACTTAAGGAACTGCTGTAATAACTATGCGAAAATTTATACTATAAGAAAGTGGATTACACAAGAATTGTTTGGAAGGATGAAAACTTAGATCACTGTCTGCCTGAAAGCAGACGTAGGTTTGAAAAATAATTTAATAAAATTATTATCTTTAAAATAAATATATAATTCAAAACTATTTGCCAAATATTGTTAATATAACTATTTGATAATGTTTAATAAGTAGCTGTATAATTTAAAAGTGTTACTTTTTTCAAAGAATTTATTTAATTACTAACTGACTAGAGACAAACTGAAAAAAGTCAATAGGGTATATGAGTACCTTAACATTCTTCAACCACCAAGCAACTTGCTTTGTAAACTGTGTTTCGGTTATAGAACACGATTAAGCAGTGAAATTACGGGATAAAAGGCATGAAATCTAAATTCTCAGTAAGGGCATAAGTGGTATCTCGGTCTCATATCATGACTTGTGTCCGTAATGCTGTTCACGTATATAGGCGAGTATCGTTACCATTATGTGGGCCATAAGCCTATTTACCATGTGCATTAAAAAAAAAGGTTCATTTTCAGGCTGACCCATGCGCTAAACCGCCACGACCTCTGAACATTTATTACGCTCTTTGTGAGAATATGGAATGGGAGTACAAGACTAACAAACACATAAGAGATCGGGAGTCAGATATTAATGGATACTTGAAACAGCGGCACAAGGAGTTGACAGAGCCTCTTTTGTTTGTCGCCTTATTTGATACTGAGAGGAACGAAGCGGCAAAAAAAGGATGGAAAGAACAAGTAAGTTATAATCACTTTAACCTTATATAAACACAATAGGTGCTACAGACAGACCTCTATGTCGGGGCTACTTTGAAGCCAAAGAAACAGTCGCTAACGTAATTCTTAAGCGCGTAGCAGTGGCCATCTACAACGCACATATATCCTCGGAAAGGTGAGGTCGCTCCGTGAACCCTGTGTAGACAGGATGCTACTGTGCTTCTGGGAGAAGCTTGAGCTGTTTTACAGTATTACGATTACAAATGTAATTATATTTTATTAGTATTGGTATATCGTAATGAACTAGGGGTCTGTTGTGCAATGTTCCCAACTTGGCACGGGTATTATTGAACAACAATATCACCCTATATTAAGTCCTTTATAAAACTCTAGTATATTGCTTTGCTCTACTGTCAATTTCTGCTGCATACGCGATATAAGGTTTCTTCTTTAGTATTTTTTTACAATATGCTATACTATCGAACCAACGGTTAAGGAATATTTCAAATCGGTACAGTAGTTTAGAGCCTGTCCAATGCTAACAATGAAATCTTTCCTCATTATAATATTAGTATGGATTACAACAATTATTGTTTTCTTAATTGTTTAGGAGACAAAAAGAGCCGAGGTGACAGAAAGAGAAAAGGAGGCTGAGATCGACCCACTGGCTCCGTACCTCGCTCGTATGTTTGGCTCCGGTCACGGGGCTGGTTCACCGCTTTCAATCAAGGAGGCCACATTAGTCAGAGAACAATGTATTAACGACTTCAGAGCTAAACAACTGGCCAGGCAGAATTTGGTGCAGGAAAGATTCGACACGGTAGGGTTTAATAAAATAGCCGGCGGAAAAAAGCTAATGAATTGTCTTAAATATTTTCTACTTTATAATATAATATATATCCTGTAAGGATATATTTTATATAACCTTAAAGGTTTCTTACTCTTCAGAATTTATGACACCTATGTAACTTCTAAGGCTCTACGCGTAATCGCCTTATGTTGCAAATGTATCAGATATATACTAAATATCAGCTACGAAACTATACTGTTTCCGCTGATGCTATGTAGCGTAGCAAGTAAGATGTTCTATGAAGATGGTATATCTACTTTTAGTAACAAATACGTGTCTAATCTAGATATTCTGCTCTGTAATTAGTAACACCACTCATTATAAAAGCATGGCTCAGTAAAGCCGTTTCTACCTGTGATAATAACCTATATGGACCAATTAATATGATTGGTGCACATGAAAAATCTATAGCAGAAATAGTAGCATAGCATAGCTCTGATGGAAAAGACCTAGATAAACGTATAACGCGACTGATTCCGAAGAAATTATTAAAAAATAAATTTATGGGTTTATAACATTAAGATCTTGATGTCTTACTATTTATACTGTTAAGGCTGATTGTTTGTATGTTTGTTGGTATTACACCAATGGTATAAAAACCCAGTCGTTAAAAAAAAAAACATCAGTTCATATGTTTTAAACAGAAGTAAACAACAATATATAATTTATCAATAACAATTTTCTATTATACCTATTAGTACAATAATTATTGTCTTGTCTTATTGAAAATTTATTATTTATTTTACAATTTGATATATTTGTAGCTAAATGATGAATACAAAAGCAAGAGACTTTGGTATCTGGCAAACCAGTTCATCCTAACACCTGAAAAGGAGAGTGCCTACTTTGCTACAAGGTAAATGAAATATTTCAACTATTTATATGCATTTCACCTATAAATTTGTTATTTATTTATATAATTCATTCCACTGCGATAAAACTTTATCAAGTTGTTACTCACAATTGCATAAATATTATAGTATAACTGCATAACATGATTGTATTTGCAATATTTCTGCATGATATCTATGACCGCGACAGAATATGTATAAAATCAGTCGAAATCATGTACATGTATTTTTTTACCACTCATGTTCATTCATTATCGCTACCACATAGTGCTAGTGTTAATACTGTGGCGCATTACTTATTTTCTTACTGTATTGATCGATCTCCTTTTCAATAATGGAACAGGCAAAGATCCTTAGACCTTACAGCCTAGTATATTTTTACGATTCTTCATATTTGTGGAAGTATTGAGGCCAAATGCCAATTCTTGTCTGTGGTGCATTACGTTATTGCGCGGGAAAATAAAAATCACAAAAAAGACTTCTTCAACAGACATACTCATTTTCATGTGCTCCTAATTCTTAATCGTGTTATACTATTGTTTAAGTCTGTAATTTACTTTCATTATAATATACACTTTCTAATATACACAACAAACCGTCATTAATACAGCCCCGACTAACAGATAGCTACTTCTCTTAAGAAAATTAAATACATAAACATTTTTGTGGCAGTGCTGAATTGGCGTTCAAGGTGCACGCATTAGAAGTAAGGCTGACAAGGCACAGGGACCTCTCGGAGCCGCGGTTCAAGATGCTCCGGGACTATCTGGACAAGCATCCTCTCCTCAAGGAATACAACCGCATGAGGCACTACTATGGCGTGAAATAGGACCGTAATGTCTCAGCAAGAAATATCACTAATCCTCATTCACTGGCAATTGCTTAGGCAAAAATATAACAAAATAAACTATTCTGACAAGTCATGCAAGAATAAATTCTTGCTAATGTTTAATTTGATACAGTTATTTACTATTTGCAATTGTTTTATTTGTATTTATTATAGGTATTAGCTGATAACCTATCTTCAAAGCAAAAGGAGAAACGGGATGAGGAAAAACCCTGAAAAATGTATGGATTGTGGAAAATAAAATAATTTTCTGTAATAATATATTTTTATTATATTTTGATTGAAATATAAAATAAATGTTTTGTATACGAGTATATTTTAATTACACTATACACAATTATCTTTTCACAGATGTCTAATATAACCGCAGTGTAGATTTTACATGTTTTACATAGGTAACTAAGTTTTAAAATAAAAATAATCACTGAATTAGGAGATAAGACCTACTTGTTGTTAATAAAAATATCTTTAACAAATACAAGATTATAATTAATTTACAAATAAATAATGAATACATGTTTCGAATAATTCAATTCGCTAACACATCTGTAAGGCTGACTATATACAGTAGGTCACTCGTTAAAATGCGATTAACGTCCCGTCAACGTCGACACTGGATATTGCTTTAAAATATATATAAAAGAGATTGCAAATTTTTTAACTGCTTTATTTTTTTGTATCAATGAGATGGCAAGTGGCAATCACTAGCGCGACCGAGCAGATTGCCCCACCCGTCGTGGGTTGCCAGCGCTAACCTCGACAGTTTGTTGGTTAGTCGGCATTGGAGAAAGGATCTACTTATAGTTAAATTAAAAATAAATAATGAATATACTTATTCACAAACACATCAGTAAGGCTTACTATATACAATCGGTCACTCGTCAGGTTGCCCGAATACGACTAACTGGGGAATACACGACAGTTGATATTGTTTCAGGCCACCCTATCTGGTATAAGTCGTGAACTATATTTTTTATATCAAGAGATGGCAAATTTTAAATGCACCTAGTGTTTGGGGAGTATCCATGAGGGTTGAGGATGGTTCAAGTCAGTGTTCCAGTCACCAGCGCCACCAAGTAGGTTGCCTCGACCGTCGTGGGTTGCCAGCGCTAACCTCGACAGTTTGTTGGCTAGTCGGCGTTGAGGAGAGTCCGGCCTGGACAATGGCGGTAGCGATATACTCCCGGAATCTGTTGACAGATTTCTTCTTACTTTTCTATTTTCAATCGGCCTCAATCAAACAAAACCATAGTAGTTGCGGAGTCGCAGTTTTTATTGTGATTATGGTCGCTTCGATTCCTGGCATCATTTGTATTTATCCATTCATTTATCCCAAAATTAAACAGAGTTTGCGTTACTAAGCAGAGTTTAAATATTTAATAAAAAAATATTACTTATATAATATAGACAGGCAACACCCAAATCAATAATAACAAACAACTCATTAATATACAAATTCTTGTACCGTGCGAGGAATCGAACTTGCGATCAACGAAAGTAAGACAGTATGCTAAACCGGTAGACCACCAAGTCCGATCTGCCTTTCCAGTTACATGAAACATAAATAATACTATAGTCTGCTTACCAGAATGGTAGTCATAGTTAGCGTGGTCACTCGGCGTTTCTTGGCCAAGCCGTTTCCTGTACTCCCCTGCGAAGTGCTCTATTAGAGTATCCATCATTGTGGCTTGCTTGGAGAATACCTATATATATATATTGATTTGTTAGAAGGATGTAACGTGTTTTGCTTATATAATACTAATAATACTCCAGGACAATTCACACAGCGCCATCTAACCCCAAACTAAGCAGAGCTTGTGATATGGGTACTAGACAACTTCTAATAATACAGTACATTTAAATATTTTTTGTAAATACATACATAGTCCAATAAAATTATAAACGAAACCATGGTGTGACCAGTTTTGGCGCAATATATATAAATGAGTCCGCAAATACGTGAATAATAATGACGGGATAGAGATGAAAATTGAAAAAAAAAAGATTGAAATATTACTTCCTGAGGAGATAAAAATCATCGCTCTTAAGAATATCCTTCAATTCTTGTCCCTGATTGGTTTCGATAGCAAACTTTGAAAAAGAGCGAGCACAACAAATCTATGCAGGTCGCAGTTTTATAGGTCTTAGCCCAAAATATCCAATAAAAAAAATTAGGAAGATAGATAAGTACTCTACAACAATCTTATAAGGTATCCATTCTAACCTGCAATATCTTAGAGACACGTAGGCCATTTTCCACGACCATGAACTGAAGAAAAAGACAGGGCAGGCAGTCCTCATGGTCATCTGACGGTAACCCGAAGTCCCAAGATAACTCTTCATACAGCAAACCCAGGAGTACAGTCTGAAAGAAAGGCCGAAAATATGTTTATTTCAATAATACACATTAAAACAACCTTCATATACTATAATAATTAATTGTCCTGGGATATAATAATTATTTTAAAACATAAATGCTTCGTTCATCAAAAAATAGGGGACTTTTGGTAGGTCTTGGATCTTGGTCCATTGTAGGTGTAAATATTTGGCAACTCACACTTTCAGTATCGTCGATGACATACACGCCGGTGGAATTGATGGCCACAAGGACTGGTATATCCTCGTGGGCGAGCAGACTCGTTAGACTGCGGACTGGTTGCTCGATCTGACCTTGGAAGAATGCCGCCCTAGAAGAGCGGTATGAGCTACAGTGATGAATTTAAATGTAAGAACAGTCACGGCTGCAAATTAAAATTATGCAGATATTACAGAAGCTTCAAGAAACAAACCATTTCTTTGAAAGAACACCCTAACATAATACAGTCCAGTGCTCTCTGCGGAGCTGTCAGCAATAGTAGGTAAGGTTTATTTTTTAATGAAAAGAAATGGTATTTATTCAGTAGACTCTTGGAAACAAGACACACCATTACAACCCATGGCGTTTTCCAGAGGAGACCACTAAATCCTTACTAATATTGTAAATGCGTAAGTAACTTTGTCTGTCTGTCCCGCTTTCACACGAAAACTACTAAACAGATTTAAATGTTAGGTGCACAGATAGTCTAGACCCTGAGAAAGGGGTACGTTACTTTTTAATGCGAAAAAAAGTTAAGTTTTTTAAACAAAAGGGTCGTAAAGGCTTGAAAGAGGAGATGAAAGATCGACATTTTTGAACCGATGTAGAACGATGAAACTTTTCTCTTTGCCTTTTTTGGGTTAAATTATTGAATATTTTTTCTTTATTTGGTCAAGGTCACTATAACATGCGGACAAAGTCACAGCACTGCTAGTATACTAATATATGAGATAACTCACGAAATTATGAACACCCGGACAAAGCTAGAACAGGCTATTAGTATATTATAAATAGTGAACTCACCCGTAAGCGGAATGTGTACGAATATGCGCAAGATATTTATGCCGTAGTTTTCTGGGCGGCGCTGCCGGTGGTCTTTGTGCTTGTTCTAGAAGTTTCGCTTCGGGGCTGCCCTTCCGGCCCGCAGGTAGTAGCTGAGCCCACCGACCGGAACGAGCGTGCTTCGGTAAATATTTATCTTGGTGTTCCCTGAGATAATCAAAAACACTAGCCGTCAAAACCTTTGGACCTTTAGGCCAACGGAATGGGAAGATGCACGAGCCACGGGTGTTACTTGAGCGTAACGTGTTCATGTAGAGAGGGAGGTAACTGGTACCATCTACCATCACGTAGGCTATCAGCTTGCTTCCCATTCCTTTTACATAATAATAGTAATAATATCTCAAAACAATACACACATCGCCATCTAGTCCCAAAGTAAGCAGAGCTTGTGTTATGGGTACTAGACTTCATTTAAAAGAGCAACACGCAAGTTTCTCGATCTTTCTTCTTGTGATGAGTCTGTGTTCCGAATGAGTGGTAGAATAAAACAATATTAGTCATATTGCTTACCTTGTTTAAGTTTCTTTGATTAAAGATTACTTCTGAATATATTTTTTTGTACACACATACATAATATACACAGAAAACACCCATATCATACAAACAATCATGCTCAAGAATACAAATGTTTGTACTGTACGAGGAATCGAACCCCTAACCATCGGAAGTAAAGCGGTGTGCTTGCTTAACCGCTGGAGGCCGTTGTAAAAAAATATAAAATGTTTTACCTAAAGAATTTCGCCGTATGTCTATGGGGATCGTATGGGCCTAATTGAATTCTAGCTTGCAGTCCGCCCAGCATGACCGCTTGAACGCTTTCCAACGGGTACCTGCCCATCACAACATTATATCTCGCTTCTTCGTACAATAACTCCTGGATTTTGGAATCCCTTGAAGAAAATATACATATAAATCAATACCTTCATTTTTAACCAAATTTGAAACGGTAGATATCGTCAATGCGACTGTACAGTATATTTTCCGAGTGCTAGATGTTGGCAACACCAGTAATTTCAGAATACAAACACTGTACAATCAGCCAAAATTATAAATTGACCTTAGTTTTTTGGTGTACCCAGATTCAAACTGGCTACCTTCACGGTTTATAAATAGTAGATGCTTTATTTACGCATTAAGCGTATAACAAAAGTTATAAATTTAAATTACTTCTTCACTTACTTGATCCCTTCTTCCAAATGCTTAGGGAAAAACACATTTCGCTGTAACCTCAACACTGGTTGGTCCTTTGCCCGTCTCGATTCTGATCCGTGGCCGTACCTCTGAAGTAGCTTCTGCCAATTTGCCCACAGCTGCCACGGGCAGTGGTGTGGCTTCAATTGAATTTCTAAGAAATTTTTTATCTTAAATATTATTATTAATAATAATACAGGATAATTCACGCGGCGACATCTAGTTCTAGGATAAACATAGCCTGCATTCTGGGTACTAAAGTACATATAATCTTCTATGTATATAATATACATAGAAATCACCAAGACTGATATATATATAATCATATTTATCAGGATGGTCTAACTGAGCTGAATTTATTTACTAACCATTTTCCACCGGTGTCGAACCATCATCTACTAACAGGTGAAGGTGACGCTTCCACGTGAATATATTTATATATTAATTAATGTATTTTATTAGGTTTTAGATGTTTATTCTTATTAAGAATTACAATTCACTGAACAAGAGAACTAAAAGCATAAACTTATACAAAATTAAATATTAGTGGAAATATAAAAGAAGATATATACATATAATGCTGACGGAGTAGTAACCGCATTAATTATAATATTTTTGGTTGGCTTACAGAGCATAGATGGCCTCAGCGGTACTGGGTTAATATGTACACAGTAGTGTGTATATTTTTATTATTAAAACTACTCACCTAACAAAGGACTGCACATCCACAATGCGAAAACATTAGCCGCTAAACTTCTAGAGCTAGGCTGCGTCAGACCCAACTCCTCGGTAGCTAATACTCCATTGAGGAACCGCGCCGCTGTGACACACAACGGCATCTCCTCTGAGCTCATTTCCATCATGACAGCAGTGCGAGACATGAGGTACACGTAGGTAATGGGATTTGAAGAGACGGTCGATGAAGAAGCTGTACTACCTGATGAGCCTGATCATAGAAATATAATAGAAATAATCTTTATTTTAAAAGTACTTTTGAATAGTCTTTTTACTCTACCTCCTTTCAGGAAGACTCAGCACAAGAAGAACAAGAAATAAACTTGCATGTTGTTATATTAAACATATGTAAAATTTTACAAACTAATAAATAACATAATTTACAAAAGTTGAAGTTGTTAGAAAAAAATACAAAATTTATAAAAGTACAGAAGTAAGAATGTTTCATGAGATTACATAAATATGCACAGCGCCATCTAGGTCCAAAGAAATATAGATAATAAGTGAAAAAAAAATGGAAATAACATTTCTCATTAAATGTACAAGCATATAATATGCAAAGAAAAAAAACGTGGTATAACAATATGGCGAGTGATATTATGCGTTGCCATTCAAGACTCAGATGTCTTGCCTGTTATCTTTCCCTTCCTAATCTGACACTAAAACCGAAACACAGCTTCCAAAGAAGCTACTTGGCAGCTGAAATAGGAAAGATTAAGGATTCCACGCAGATAACTTTTTATAATCGACCTGTGGTAAACTTACCCCAAAAGAGGTCTAGCGTAATTATATAGTAGCTGTTCCCGCGACTTCGTCCGCGTGAAATTTAACTTTATTTTTCTAAAATAAAAGTACCCTAAGTTATTCTTTATTACATCAGCTACCTGCCAAAAAAAGTCCCGTCAAAATCGGTGCGGCCATTTCAGAGATTAGCCTGAACAAACAGACAGACAGACAAAAATTGTAAAAGATGTTATTTTGGTGTATGTATCGTATTTATATGCATATGCTTGTAGTAAAAAACGGTTATTTGAGTATAGATAACAAGATAGAAAAACATTTACCTGGTAAAGGTGGTGATATGGCGCTAGAGGAGCTACCACCGCTGGTAATAGGTTCCGTGGTACTGAACGATCCAGCCGCTATACTGCTTGATCCAGTTTGGTTGGAACAACTGCTCAAGTTGGATCCTAAAATATTTTGATATCATTAAAAAATGGGAATTATTTTTTAACTGTTTTATTTAGTTTCGAATACCTTCACGACTGTTGTCCGAGTTATTTTTAATGGATGGCTATGGTCCATTAGCCTGCGCGAACAGTATGCTTGCACCAGTGGAGGATGATAAGATAAGCATAATGTCAGACCAGGTAGCCCATCGTGACAAATTCGCCAGGAATGTATCATGATGGTTTCCAGGGAAACCGCGTGGGAGTCAACCTGGCTTGGTACATTGCTAACGATGCAGTAATTAGCTCACAAAACTAACATTTCTCCTTGTTGTCCTAAATTGTATATTCAAATATTATATTTGATGTATTCAAATACACAATCCGAGATACAGCTGAAGGCTTTTTTATCATATAGAAAAATCGTCTCCACATTGAAGAAGTGACACCCTTATCACTGTGTGGGATTGTTACTCATTAAAAAACCACACGGTACACCGTGGTTTTTAGTTAGTTACATGTATGAGAGTCATTGCCGGAGTCGCGAAGTCGCGTTAGCATAACTACCGCGGCCCCGGCAGCTTTGGCCGGCCCTATAGATACTGTAGAGCAGGCCCCATCTCGTTATTAGGTCGATCTATTTCGCCCTACTCAATTGTGAAAATGAATCGGTACACGCGCACGCCTCTTCGGCCATTTGGATGCTTATTTTGATACCTACTAATGTGAATACTTATTTTCTCCTGTGAACCTCATCATCATTATCATTTTCTTAGATGCCACAAAAATATAGTTTTTTTTTTAGTTTTGCCCAGTTAGGTATTAATCACAAGTTCTAGTACAAAGTATGGTGCGAACTTATAAACTGTATTTATAATTTATCAATACAAATTTACGTGTAAAATAAAAAAAAAATTGTAAGTAGGTAAGTATATAAATTACTAGGAACGGAATACATTACCCATAACACTCTTTTCCAAAGAGTCTGAGCTGTTACTCTCTTTGGAGTCTGTCTGAAGGGGTTTATGGGGGTCATGTTTGTCCCAGTCGCTGTGGCGCCCTAAAGGACTATACGACAAATGCGGCAATCTCTGTGACACCGAATATAAATGTGCGTTCACTTCAGCTTGTAACTTTTGACTTTGTACACTGTAATATTCTTCACGTGACCTGAATTCGCTGAAAAAAAATATTGCAATAAAGAGGTTGAACCGTAAATAGGTGCTATATTTTCTCTATCTACGTAAAAAAGTATTTGACACAGATACTTAGATTGGTTATTTATTAAAACCAGTCGGTTACGAATTTTTTTTCTCTTGTCACAAGAGAAAAAATATTATTTATTCTTTTTTTTGTATCATATTTTTCGTAAAATTTAGATTATTTTCAGTATTGATAGGGCTTTTCACTAATGACAAAATTCAGGAAAGACATTTTAAAGAAAAATTGAATACGGACTTTATCCCGTAATTCGTATTGCTTCGTAGATGCGAAATTATTTGTAGGTAATATTTATATATTAAATTGCTGATAAATATGAAGTTAGTATTTAATAAAACTTCTATAAATTTTCTATTGTATACGCATAGGCAATGGTAATAGTCTTTTTTATTTGTTTACAATACCTACTTGTATTGATATTCTGCTTGAATCGGATATCCACGCCTTGAATAATCGACAGGGATAATTGTTATATAATTTCCATTGTTCTGAACATTCGGATTTTCACCATAAGCACCCATGTCTGTTTGGTGGTCCATTTATTGTATAAATTCATAAGTTACAAATGATTTTTTGGGTTACACATGCTACAAGAAAAATATTTTCGCCTACTTTATCGATCGGACTTCGCGCCTTAATTTGGGTTGCCATGATGCCATACAGGTTGCCATGCCAACCTATTTCAATTATATGAAAATTAATAGATTTTATAATAAAATGTTATCTAAAAATATTACTGACTGTAAGATGAGTTTCTTGATAATTAATAATTCTACCTTGCAATTTGCAATTCAATCAAAATATTAATTATTTAACAGCTACATATAAAAAACAGCTGTTTAACATTGCTATGTCAGTAAGCCTTTGATATCTGTGGTTATCGTTAATTTGCCAATGTCAACAATCAACACTTCAATAAATTCACAAAACACTTCTATTTTATACACGTACTAAATTAAATTTACATTCCCTTTGTGTAACACTGTTTTATTTATATTATTATGAAAATCACACTAATTAGTTTTGTAATGAAAGAAAATTCACGCTGAAACTGTTAAAAATACCGGGCATATGATTATATTTCTTTAGATATAGATACTAAACTTGGACATTCATTATATTTTTTACTTGATCGAAAATCTGAAATCAAAAACAAAAACTTGTAGATTAGTACAAGTAATTGCAGGTAAGAATTGCAATTTAAATTTAAATTTTTAGGTTTTTCATTATTTTGTAATACGGGGTGTTGAGATTCCTATATTAATTTTATACCTTTGCTTTGTAGATTTACGGATGGAGGCAAAATTGAAAGAATACCGTGCTCTCCGACGCCGCAAAGAATTAATAGATAACGCTAAGGACAAATTCGAAAGATCTAAGGAGAAGCTAATAAATTTTTTAGTGCCCAAAATATTCGGAGATATGGATAGAGAAAAGAATGAGGATGAAGTTCTTTTAGTGAGTTACAATATTACTCTAATCTAGTATTATATATATATAGTATATTTTTATACAACAACTATGACCCATAATTGCAGAAAACTATTGTAATAACTTATATTTGTTTTTATTTTATATAATGAAATGGCAAACAAACTGATGGCCTATATGATGATAAGTGGCCTCATCTTATAAATATTCATGCCTATATACTATATACATTGACAACACTAATGACATTACAGCATCATGTGATGCCCATGTGTACCTTTGCTATAGGATATCGATGGCATGTATCCCATAATTTTATTGTATTATCTGACGCTACAAATAAAATATATTACAAAGCAAGCCGCTTTATTGCTGTGGAATATGTACCATTATAGGTTTAATTAAGAAGAATTAAGTTCAAAGTCTGCCTTGCTACAACTTTGATTAATCTTGTTATTATTTATTGATTATGTTATGGATACTACATACTAATACTACTATAATACTAAATAAAATTAACTATTCATGTATAGGTAAAAAACATATAATGACTGTAATGACTTGCTATAGAGTAAAATGTCTAAGTATCATATCTTATTATATATAATTCTTCATGTTTGTCAACTCCTCATAAACAGATGGACCGATTTGGATGAAATATTGTATATATATAATTCTTTATTGGGTTCATAAATAGTTTCAACTTGGTTAGCACTGTTTTTCCAGGCAGGATGTCTGCTGTGTCCACTATAAATAAATCTTTTATATTATGAAGTAACAATCAAATGTATCAATTATGTTGGTGTGACTATGTATATGTATGTGTGTGTATGCTGCAGGTATGCTACCAATTTAATTTAATCTATGCTATTTGTAATACAAGAGAACAAAAAAGGAAAGGAGGGTATCAATATTTGCTGAATAAATGTACATCATTATTATTATTCACATGTCTTTTATTATTTTTCAGATGGAACATGAAGAACTGCCAAAACCAGTATTGCCACTCATCCAACCTGACGATTCCAGTAGTAACGAAGAGGCTACTTCATCTACGGAAGTTAATGAGCTAGAGTCATCTGAGGAGGAAAACCAAGAGTCTTGGCGATATTTCATCATCAAATGGTCCCTTTACAGTTTGACCTGGTTGACACTATATATTTTTTTCCTACAAATACAATTTGGTGCAGTATTCTTTGCCACGTCTGTGTTAATTGGTATATATTTTAATACACGCACAAGGCCAAAACAAAAAGGAGAAATGTCGGCATACAGTGTATTTAATGAAAACTGTGTTAGTATAGATGGTGCATTAAATGCAGAACAATTTGAGAAAGAATTAAAGTATGGCATGAATATTTTCCGATAAATTGTTAACTATGTATGTTGTTCTTAGTAAGAGCAAGGGTATTTTAGCGATGATTTTCTGAGATATTTATGCAACACAATATGTTAAAAATCATATCTCTGTACTTTTTATGTGTAGTATTATATTTTCTTTAACAAGATGGATATTTTATACAAAGACGAAACGACTGACTTTCATGCTTGCATAGCATGAAAGTCAGTCGTTTCGTATTGCAGACTACGTAGAATGTTAAAATTTCATTTACTTATTATTCTTAAACTTGACGAATATGTGTACTTAATAATTATGTGAGGTTTGGAAGTACATTTCATATATTAAACTATTGATACAGTTTCGCAGGAATGCATTAGAAATCGTTGAGTTTCTCTGCTATTCAGTGCTATAAGAACTTTTCTAGTAGTTAAAGTAGCGTATGACGCGAACGATCGGATGGCATAGCCATACTCGTAATTATTAAAACACACAGTTAATCAAATTTCATCTAAAATATTTCTGTAATACAATCCATATACAAATGTTTTCTACTTCTACTCATATGAATGAAATTTTATTTGAAGAAAACATAATTCGAGTATGTAATCATATCATCAGTCATGTAATTTTTTTGCGTGATAAAAAGAATATTCGCAGTTTGTATTTGAGACCAAAACTCATGTTCTGGTCTTAAATGTATTGTCTCAAGACAATATGCTATGGAAACGCTGGTTTTATAACTTTAGCTGATAAGTACCTTTTGCATAAAATTTATACGAAACTTAATATATACCGACCTAATAATGTTTTTAAAAGAATATTTATTGCTTAAATAATAAATTTATTATAAATATTAAAATATAATACATTTATTATTTATTAATATTTATGTATTAGTATATAAATAACTGCTCTAAGTAGGTGATAGACGAGATGTCACAATAATGTATACTTGTCTACAATTATATCTGTAATCAAATATACTGTGCCAATGTTTATCTACCAGAATAAAAAAAAAGTTTATATAATTATATAATATGTGAACATATTATTTACTCTTATATTGTATTAATGAAATACATATGTGAAGGATGGAAATAAAATACTTCGGTAATAAAATTTTATTTTTATTATAATCACATTTATAAATTGACAACAAATATAAAAGTCAATAATGAAATGCAACATAATTTAAACTGACTGCAATGTACCCATACAGCACGCGCTGATCATTAAACAAATATTGGTATTGCACATATTTAATACTAGTTAGTAACTGCGACTTTATATGGTTTTTTTTAGATAAAATGTCCGTCCTCAAGAAAATACCTTCACGCCTAATTTCCTTAATCAGTTTAGTCATGAAAATTAACAAACAGTACACAATTTCGCACTTATATTAATATAGAAATAGGACGAGTGAACGCGGGAGCAAACAATAGGTCACTCGTCAGTGTGTCCTAAGTTAATAACACAACTAAATAAAGTGCTTACTGACTAAGTGTCCGTTCTAATATCGCAGATTAAATAATATACGTTTTTTTCTATTTATTTAGGTCTATCACAGACACTTGGATGATTCAAAGCTACCGTTCGGAACGTAGTTTGAGCTGAGAAAGTATTATAGTTACAATAATAATCCTGGACAATTCACACAGCGTTAGTCTAGTTATAGGACTAGACGACTGATAATGACTTAAATATTGTTTTATAAATACATAATATATAGAAAACACCCAGACTGATATTTATGAATACAAATGTTTGCATAGTACGACCATCAGACGCAAAGCGGTATGAGAAACCGCTAGACCACCGAGGCCATCATATTCGTCATAGCTGATTTATATCCATTGGAATAATGTACCTAGCAAATGTGAAGAGCGTTTTTCGATAATTTGCAGAGATTACTTTCCTTTAAAAAATTTAATTACGAACGGCTTCATTTAAAAAGAACGGACAGGTTCTAGATTTATAGATCCTAGATTTACCAATTAGTTTAATTATTTCAAAAACATAATAAATTTTTTTAACAACATTGGATATTTCTAACACTTTAATAATAAACCGTATTATGTCGCAACTAACAAATACTAAAACAGTCGCAATTTAACTTAGAAAGTCCAAATTACAAATACTTTTAATTATAATTTTAAAAGTATTTAATTTGTTTATTTCTCTTAGCAGATACCTATATATGACATTAATTTCGGTACCTAACCCAAATTGGAGCCATAAAATCTTAAGACAAGTTTTTTATGAATTGGGTTTTTATTACATGATTATCTGCTAAGATTTAGTGGCCCTACTTAAAGTGATTCATCATATAAAATTACCTACAATACAATACATTTCAGTCCATTTAGCTATTATATAGACACTTTTATTCCATCTTCTTTAAATAGAAATTTAAGAATATAATTATATTAAAAAAATACAAATGTAAATAAAAGATAATACTACGGTGCAGTAATAATAATAAATTTTTGTATAAAAAATTACTGCAATGCGTTGATCATAACATAATATACGCGACTATATTTATAACAAGAATAGCAATGGAGTGCACGCCCCGCCTGATAGTAAGCAGTCACCCATAATGATTCTTGTTCTCTGTATAAAAATCTCTTCCATATCAAACAAATGAGTAACTACATAGTCTTTACAAGTGATCTATGGCATATATAAGGTATAATTATCATGTTTCAGTAAAAAAAATATGCACAGGATGAAACTATACTCAGTGTTATTATTTGTGAAACTGTAGAATTGTTGTAATCAAATACATACAAACTACGCGATAATATCGACGTACATATGAAAAGGATAATTATTTTCATATTCATTTATACTGTGAAAATTTATTCAGTCTACTTAATATTGTCTGAGTTTTTAGTTTTTTCAAATTAACCTGCATATTTTTTATATAAAAGCCATTCGTTCCGTTTAAAAATCGCTTATACAAATGTTATTTATTTACAAAAGTTGGACTTTGTACACATTACATTAAATATTTTTGAGCAAAAAGAAGCATAGGAATGTAAAAGACAACTAAAAAGTCTAGACAAAGAGGGTAGATATAAGTATCATTGAAGAAAGTGGGAATACTTTGATTCTATTCTGTGATATCCAGATTTCACGTCTTATCATTCTTTAGAATTTACACCCAACTCTTGCTTTTTACAGGTCACTTTTAAAAGCCTATTACAGTTAATATCAATACTGTCTCGTAAAAAAGTATACCATTAGCTATTGCTTGATGTGACAATACTAATACTATTTATTAGGTAGTAGTAATAGTAGTAGTAGGTAGGTACTTAAACTATCTGAACAAAAGAAAAAATAGAGTAATATTTGTCAGTAATTGGGATCACCGATTTCATATTTACTATACGGTGTAGTGTGACAACACAGAGCAATTAAAAACACGTTTTTTAAGCGTCGACACCGTCCTTACGAAAATCA